TTTTTTTAAAAAATCGATTCCCCCCCCCCCCCCCCCCCAGGGAAAGTTATTTTTACAGAATTCATTACTTCATTGACAGTGTGTTTATTTCTAGTCATGACAGAGTTTATCACAGCATACAATCAGTGTCAGGATTTGTATTTAATTACCATTTTCCTATGTTGAATGCCTTTAAAACCTATCTGATTAATTCTATCAAAATGTAGAATAAGGATGAGATTTACCATATTCAACACCTCTATCAATCACAAAGAATCACTTTGCTTGCATATTTGTCCCATAAAATGTTTGCATTACCCTAAATATTCCAAGTCACACTTCAGTTCAGGAACTCCCCTCCTATTACTTATTTTTATTCACATAAACATAAAACTTAAATGGACCAGGTAGGACTTAACATATAAAATTATTGGCTTTTGAAAAACCCTGACCGGTGAAGGTCATTCGTTGCCAGCAAACCAAGGCACTGAAACTGCATCCTGAAAATGCTGCGTTTACAAAGGTATTTAATTCCAGTTATTTGCGTCCTTATTCATTTTTCAAATACCAACATTAATGATCCATAGTTTAACCTTAATATAAAGCTTTTTGTTTGATTTGATTTATTGTTTTAGCTCCAGAAGTGTTCCAGGCCTTTATGGATGGAGGTCCAGGATACTCGTACCCTGTAGACTGGTGGTCACTAGGAATTACAGCGTATGAATTATTGAGGGGTTGGGTAAGAACGATGGGTTTTGTTGTTATTTAACACATTGACTGACAGAAGTCCAAAAGTTTGCAGTGCCCCTGAGTACACCCTTCATGATAAAATTTGAGTGGATGAGGCTGCAGTTCAGTTCAGGAATGTTGTCCTGAGTCCTTTCCAGCTGGAAACATTCTCAGGAAAGTTTCACCCCACTCTCAATTACATCATGAAAGTTTGCCTAAAATGGATATAGACTTTCAGTGTGCACTAAGGAAAAGCCTAATGTTTTACTAACTTCTCAACAATGCTGAACTGGAAACAATGGTATTTTTTTCCAAATAGGAGTTGAGTTACTTTACTTCAGGCTTTATTATATCTTTGATTCTCTTGGCTACTACCTTAAAAGAGCTAATGTAATATCCTAAAATGCTTGGTCCAACTACAGAAAATGCTTATCTGCCGGAACACTTGTTACTTATCTAATCAATTATGTGAATAAGCTTAATGAAAAATCTTCCTGAGCATGGTCAAATTTCAGAGAAGATAATGGAAAATTCTTTTCCATTTTGGTTCAAAAGCCTGAAGTTGGTTGCTTAAATATTTACTATTCCCTATGGAAAACAGTAATTTAGATGCTATTTAAGGATAAGGATGTAGCTGGGTTTTTTAAATTTTTAATTCCTATTTTGGAAAGAGGATTTTATTGCATTGCAGTATGCTGTTTTTAAGGAAAGAGTATTTGTTATCATATGACCCTAACACAGTACCACTACCCTGTTCTGCTAGGCACTTTGTGATGTGACACAATCCATCCCGTAAGGATCTCACAGTTTCATGTAGGTTGACAGACAAAGGAAACTAGAAATAAAGAACAATTATTATTCCCATTTTTAGATGGAAGACTACATTTCAGAGTGTCTGCACATTGTTACTTCAATCCAGAAGCTACATTTTTCAAAGGCCTAAGACTTGGCCAAACTATTTTGTATTTCCATAGAAATGGCAAAAGTCATGCTCCTTTGCTCTCCCATGGCAAATCTCAGCCCTGCTCTCAAAGCACAGGAGTATTAAAAACCTTTTTAGGAAAAAAAAAAAAAAAGTCTTTGCAATTTTTCTCTGCCATCATTCTCAAAAATTACTGAGTGTTTAAGCTGACATTCTTCCCGGGATGGAAAATTTTAACCTGAACATTTAAGGTCTGGCAGTGATAAGCATAATACATTCTCAACCCCAGTCATAGATGGTAGTACTGGCTGCACGTATAATAAATTAAAAGAACATCCTGCTATTTTTATATCAACCCTTTCACCAATGAGTGTCTCCAAGAAAGCAGCACAATATAAGGAAAGCTGATCTCCCAAGACAAATCACAAAAGATACCTAGCCACTTTAATAAATGAAAAATTATATAGAATGGTATCCATTTGCCAAGAGCCATACAGTCTTCTCTGAATGAGTCTATCTGGCTACAGACAAAGCAAAGCTGAGACTGAATAAAATTTTTTTAAAAATAAAAACATTGCCATCTGTCCATGCTCTAGTCAACCAAGCCAGCTGCTTGTTTTCTCCTGAAGAGCGGCTCTTGCCCACTAAGCAAGCCAGAGGGTGGCTTGGCAGCCCATACCTTTGTATGGACTAGGAAAAGGTGTATTTTTTTCTGAATTGTATTTCTAAATTTTTCTAGTCTAGACAAGACCTAAACTGACAGGAGTGATGACAAGAGAAGTAGCAGTGGGTTGAGGAAATGTGCTTAACCCAAAGCGTGTTACTGCCTGCAACAAGACAACAAGGTCTGAAGCTCCATCTGCTGCAGCAGCCCCGTGCAGATGGCTGCAAAGAAGCAGCTTGCGCCTACAAGGCTGCAAGCTAAACCTGCAGGCAGGCAGCCCCCTCCTCCTCCATGCTCCCACAGCACTGTGTTCAGCGGTGAGAAGAGAGCCCCATTGCCACAGAGCAGATGGGCGGGCACTTGGTGCAACCCACCCGCTCCTGCAACAGCAGTCCTGGGGAGAGAGGAGGGTGTTGCACTCGGCAGAGCCACCCGGAGATATGACTTTCTGCAGCTGGAGCATGGTGCATACTAGTGCATGGGGAAAGCAGGAAGGAAGGAGCATTAGAAATGAGGAGCATTAGAAATTTTGATCATTTTGCACCTCTGAGCTATGCGTAGTGCATGACACTGCCTGCCTGAATTCAAGAGGAGCTAAGTAAAAATGAGTTGCTTTTCATTGGGCTGAATTTTTCTTTTTATTTGCCTCTACTGTTATGAGATGGAAGAGTCCTCACAGGGTGCTCAAGGCATTGCAGCCATTCTCATGCCCTGCTCTCTAGTGCCAGGCGGCCAAGACAACGCATTGCTGGAAACAGGGCTGTAGCTACAGGTGTAGGTTGCATCTGGTACAGAGCTGTCTGGACCGTTTTTTGATTATCCACAGTAGCGTTAGCATTTCTCAATATGTTGCATTTCTCTCCTTAGCTAGTTGTTGACAAAACACCTAACAACCAAAAAAGTAAATTTATAAAGCTTTGCACCGAACATTGATTTTTTCCCTAAGTCCATGAAATTAAACCGCATGATGCAAACCATGACATGTGTCAGTCTGTTCCTATAGACTACTGCTGAAATATTACAATAACTGTATATACCATGCCCTCAACAGAGACAAGGTGAAGGAAAGAGGCAGTAGGTGGGAATCTTGGACTCCGATTTTCACTGTGATGTGAACAGTTTACAATGAATTTTGGTAAAACATCACAAACAAAAGCAAACAGATTTTATTTTTCCTTTTTCACAAAATAAACCAGAAGGGATCTGACCCTCAAGTGGATTGAATAGCTGAAAAACATGGGAGAAATAGGTGTGAAGGACCTCAAAAGACCAAGCTTATGATGGCCATTTCTTTGAGTATTTATAGTTCAAATTAACTAAGAACAATATTAAAAATCTCTGCAAATCTCAAAAAATCAAGTAAGATTGCAGAATGCTAATAAACTTTAAAATAAGGTAAAATTTTTAAAGCTTTTTCTGGGGAGGAAAAAGGCATGTGCAGAAACATCCTTAACAGAAGAACTTTCTTATTTTTATTCTTTTTACTTTATTCAAATATTCATTATTCCTTAAAATTGATATTTTTAGAGCTAAGTCACCATTTCCAACAATTGGTGTAAATTCTGGCTCAATGATCATATTGGTCACATCGTTATATCAAGTCTAAATCAGCAGTAGGTTACTTCTTGACAACAGACAGAATGTTAACTTCATTTTTAATAGCTGTTTTATGGCAGCATTAGCACAGGTAGGGAAAAGCATATGACAGACTATTTCAAATGACAGTTTTGAACCTGATTCAAGAAAATTATCTATTCAGAGCATGCATTTAGGTCCTGTTGAATTCATATGGACATGATATAACTAAATGACAACAGACTAACTGAATGTGAATCAAAGCAAGAAGATTTAAGCAATCCGTGGATTTATTTTTAGAACAACCCAATGCCTTGGAATGGACTTGGTTTCATACACATGTTCGAAGTTAAACATGTGCATGAATCGTCTCAAAATAAGAATGTTTTCTGGGCCTTTATGAAGACTGGCTCTAATTCATGATCAGATTAAGTAACTAACACCTAGAAATACTCTTAAATTATAATCTTGTACCAGTACATACTAGCAAAAGTCAAGGGATGATTCAGTTCTTAGTGAAGGTAATGAGTATCTGCTCTTTGCTGTTGAGGATATTGGATTAGAAGGTAACTCTATGTTGTGTATGAATTATGATGCATCAATTTGCACATTGCTGCTATGATGGCATTTGGCTGAAGGTCTCACATCACATATCATATAGTTGTCACCTGCTGGGTACAACTTAATTCACAAGCAATCCACACTCTGTCCTTGTTTTAAAAAATACATCAACAGAATATCATTCTTGCTTATGCAGAATATAACAACTTGCTTCACAAATACAAGTCTTCAAAAAATGTGTGTAGAACAGCAATTAATAGGAATATAAATTTATATGTAGTACTTTCATTTCCAAATGCTATATTTAATAAAAGATAAATCACAGCAATCTTCATGAACAAAGCACTGTGAAGCCTGGAGCTTCTCTTCACATATAGAAGAATTTAGGCACTGCAAACACAGGACAGTAGGTCCATATAATCCATAGGTCCATATAATGAGTTAATTTTAGATTTCAAAAAGGGCAAAGGAGAAGGATTGGGATTTAGAGTCTACTTTTCTACTGTGGTTCTTACACAGATTTTTGTAAGCATTTTTTTGATTTCTCTGTCTACTACTCAGTAAAATCAGGATGACAAAGCTGCCTTCAGCCACCACTTTTCCATTTTGTCAGTTTAGATCACAAGTATATTCTAGTACTACAAGTAAAAAAAAGTAAATAGTCCACGTTTCACATAGAATGCCCCAGGAACAAAATTATTCAGCCATCTCATTTGAACTGATACTTCTTTTCATGAGAGAAAAATTTGCAGAGGAAATGCATCTATGAGTAATTACATTCATTCTGACCAAAGAAAAGCACACATGCAAAGGATTAGCCTCAAAATTGTTATAAGATGTTTTCGTGTTTTTGATATTTCCAGCATAAACAATACTGAGCTCAGGAAAACATGAATTGTCTACACTCTTTTATCCATTCTTGCTGACCTGATATTGATTTAACTTTATCCCAGAGGCCCTATGAAATTCATTCAGCCACCCCCATTGATGAGATACTCAACATGTTCAAGATAGAAAGAGTTCACTACTCATCTGCATGGTGCAAAGGCATGATAGCACTACTGAAAAAGGTAAGAAAGCACAAAAACCTTCTGTCCTCTCTTCTCTTCCAGAAGCTCCTCCAGCAATGCAGAGGCATCAGGCAAGCACACACATTAGGTAGTCAAAATTTCAAGGATAAGAAAGCAGTGCTTATTCCTAGACTTTTCTGAATGTTAGTGATGCAGTATTCTCTCTTGAGTTTCCAGCCAGGGAGCTTAGAAGTGAAAAGGGCTGTATCTCTCCCTGTCCCATGTTGCTGTAGTTGCAACAACAAAAGTCAAGCTGCTTTGCTGTAAATGTCACTAAGCTACAAGCTGAGGTTCTTTCTGAATGCATCATGAGTCTGGACATCACTTGCTTCCTAAAATCCCAGGTTTTTGTTCGGTTTAATTTTCTGGCCATGCTGCAAGGATCCTCTGTCTCTTTTAGGTACTTCAGATCATCAGTACTGATATTTGAGCAGGAAATGTTTGTGAATGTGTGACTAGAGCAATAGAACATCAATTTCCTTTGCAGCAATGAGCAATCTATTTTTGAGAGATAGAGCAATGAGGTGGTTAATTTTAATTGCTGCCAGGATGCTCGGTGTAACTATATCTTCCAGTAAATTAAAGACGAAATACAAATTGTTGGGTAGCATTGAACTGTGATGTTTCATGTCACTCGGACTCTTGTGTATTTGTAAACAGACTTTTGTTACTAATACATTTACACACTTCACGCCTGCAACAGTCATCTGGTGGCAATTAAATTATATTAATTTCCTATCAGTTATTACTTTTATTTTTTTAGATTGGGCCTTCTAGGAGTTGTTAGAGGATTCCCTAGCCATTTCCTTACTCTAAATTGTGTATCATACAATTTATGTGTGATATGTTTACTCTTTTATATGGCATCCGGGTCCTTAGAAAATGCCTTGTGCTTGATCACAGCTCCTCACTAAGGACCCAGAGTGCCGTCTTTCAAGCCTTGTAGACATCCAAAGCTCTCCATACCTAGCTGATGTCAACTGGGATGCTGTTCTAGAGAAAGCTGTGACTCCAGGCTTTGTTCCTAACGTAAGTCGATATTACAGGTGAACTGTGTTTGCAAATTCCAACTTTATTTGTTTATGCTTGCATTTATTGCTCTTCAGTGATGTACTTCTCGCAGAAGTTTTACTTTGGATTCTGCTTTCATTTACTCAGTCACAGCTAAGGGAAAATTTGGCCCATTTCATTAGATCACAACAAAAATAATTAACCCTGGTTCACTTTTTGGTCCCTTTAAAATAAAAAACATTTCCAGACTTTGCATTTCAGCTGTTAGAGAAAATGATTGTCAGAGTTAACTCTGAGCCAAAGAATACCAAGATGACTGTTGCTGCTCTGTTAGGCATCCAAATAACATTTGCAGTGTGCTGTTCCTTTTTCACTTAAAAAATACTGTTTCAAAAGACTGACCTATTTCTTTTGTGACGGTTTCCTACCGTCACATTCAGATTCTGTGAGGGAATCTGGTGGTTTCTTTTTTACTGTGGTTCCATTTTGTTGGTATTTTCTGGATATTTCCATTTTGATAATTTGTAAGTTAAATGGATTTGAGGGCCATGAATCCAAAGCAATGACTGCGGTGTTGACATCCTTCTCCACTTTGTTGCTTTTCCACTTTGTGGACTTGGCAGTGGTTGATTTACAGCTGGACTCGATGACCTTAAAGGTCTTTTCCAACCTAAATAATTCTATGATTCTATGATCAGTCATACTGCACCATAATTCTTCTCCAAACAATACATTTGTTACAAATACTAAGGATCATTTAAATCTTTTTATGCAACTGTGAATAAAGATGAGGAAGGGGGAATAGCTAGACCCTATCCTCATCCAGGGGTACATCAGAGTTCTTGCTAAATCTGATGGGGACAGGATCCAGCCCTGCAGAAGCTGATGGAGAGAGTGCATTGCTTAATGGAGCAAAGGCAGTCAGGTAGGTTGCCAAAAGAGTGCTGGCAGTGTTTGCTGTGCTTCTTAGCATCTGACCAGAGCCTTTCCTGGAAGCAGCATCCTGCAGGAGAAGAAAGCTGTGGATGGGCAAGCAGGGGTGCAATTCCTTCCTTTCACATTTTAGCTCAATGGTGGTGCAAGCTGAAAGCTTGAGAGGTGAATATCATACCTACCAAACCAAGGCTAGGACCCCTCCCCTCTTATTCAACGTCCCTGCAGCTGGAATAACTGCTACGCCATGCCAGGCCTTTCCCCTACGCTCTCCCAGGTTGCTACCCTAAGCAAAGCACTGCAGAACAAAGCTCCTCCCTGGCCTGGTGGACCATGAACTCCATTCTCCAAGGTGGCATGGATCTACAAGATGAATGGAGACTGCTTTTCCTCTTTTCCTTTTTTTCAAGTTAGAGTTGCTCTCTGAGATGTCGGAAGCGTGGGCTTACTCTCAGACAAAACCCAACAGATTATTTAGACCTCCAACTCCTAGCTGAAAGTTTAATCCACAACTGTCAGCATGTGGGAAACTTCATAACCCTGCTTTGTATTTTAAAAGAGGGATCCAGTTTTCCACACCCAAAGGTACAACATATATGGGGATCCAGGAGAGTCCCAGACCCTGCAAAGCCTAGTCATGCCTAGGTACATGTCTTAGGACTTAATGTCAAGAGAGAGGACTTCAACTTGCTCTGGCAAAACCAGCTGCCTATGGCAACTCTGTTCTCTGCTCCTGTTCCTGCCCCAGCATTATTCTTTCCCCAGACATCTCCTCAGTCTCCTTCTTGCTCCCACTCAAGCTTGAATTCATAGGGCCATATTTTCCATCTTCACTATGCTCCCAAGGATTGAACTCAAGCCAGCTTTGGTCCAGGAGTGTATAGCCAACTAATGCAATGCGTGCCACCCTGCTAAGCCTGCCTCCTAAGCAGTGAGGTATGGCACTTTGGCTGTAGTAATAGGACTTAATAAAGGGACGGCAAGTTTTCCACATTCAGCTGGCTTACGCCCAGCCTGCCCAAAGCTGGGGCATGACAAGAGTGTGATGGTCTGTGTCTGGCCATAGACAAGTATCCCCAAGTCCTTAATTCACAGTTCTCATGTGGCTGTTTGCTTCTTTCCACCCGGATTTAGGTTGTTTTGAGGGTACCTCACTCCTGAGAGAGTACAGACAAGTTTCCTGACTTCTTAAGGATGGTGAAAAAAGTAATTTAAAATGTAATTTCAGAAGCAATTGTGGAACCAATGTGTCTGGTAGTGCTCTGTTAGCCAAGAGGCCTGTCTCTGTGGCTGATGTTGACAACAGTGAACATCATGGAGACTGAGAAAGGAGGAAGTCCTCTTGAAATTCTTTGAACTGTCTGCCATTAAACGTGTTCAAAGACAGCTATTCTTTTCACATTTGGAAAGATGTGAAAATACATACCTCATTTGTGTTTTGGAGGGAATCTATAATATTGGAGGGTAATCTATAATATTAGAGGGAAAATAATATTCTATGTTTAAAAGGAAACAGGAGTAAAAAGTTACTTTTATCTACTTGGATTAATCTGAAAATCCCATTAAAAGTTGTACCAGACGCTTCAGGACAGAGGCTGATATTCCACCTGGTCGATCAGGTGTGTTAGGAAAAGCAGTGAGAAGGTGAGAGTCAAAATGTCTTTTCTAGCACAACACTTCTTTTTATAGTAAACTTTACTGTTTCATGAGACCAAGTTTGGCCAGGAATTTTCCAAGAACTTTTCTCTTTATTGGCCCAGCAAAACCTTCACTGATTAATTGGGGCCACACAACAAACTATTTCTTGGTTTTCAGGCTTTGGGTGCGAGGGTGAATTGGGGACAACATACACTGTGATCTGGGGAGAGTTTTATAACTTTTTGACAGCTTGCTGTTACTGTCAGGAGCTTGCCTGCCTTCTACAGGCAAGAGAGGGAGGCTTGTGGTAGGAAGGTCCCATCATTTAATTTCTCCCTGTGTAGTCTGATTCCATAAATATTGTTCTTACTTAACTAGTGCATGTGGGTTTTCATGATTTAGCTAGTTTCTTTATATTCAGCTGGGAGTCACAAACTGTTAGTAGTTTTATTGTATTGTTAAATATTTGATGAAGGAAGGAAGAAATTATTTAAATGTAATTTGCTTTCATTTTTAAAGCTTCAGAATTAAAGTGATGTATTTTTTAAGTGGTCAAACAAATCTTAAAACTGTACATGCTCAAAAAAGGAACGGATATTGATCAAATGTAAAGAATAATTTATTTATATATAAACATAAATATATATATTATATAAATTTATATAATATTTATTTATATATAAATATAAATAAGCTGTAAACCCCCATTAATAAAAAACAAATAAATTTTACTAAACCTGACTGGATAGTATGCAAGAAAAGGCATCAGAGAATTTAATATTATACTTTAAGTATACAGACTTTTCTAGGATATAAAAATGATGGAGTGATCTCTAAATCAAATGTTTCGTTGTAGGACATCACAAGTTATACAAGTGGTTTCTGATGTGTTTTTTCTGCTTAGTGTCTGATTACTAAATAATATCTGTGACTTTTTAAAAATTTAAAAATTGGGTCCAGCTGAACCATAGATTTTCTGGCTGTACCCTAGCTCTTATCCCTAAATAAGAGAAGAACAGTTCATCCCAAATGTTGTCATGAGATGGCTTTACTGCACTAATGAATAGAATTAAAAAAAACCCTCAAGGCATAACTATGCTCCTGTAAACTTTTTTTGCTGAAAAGATCTGAAAGAATCAAGAACCTGAAAAGAATTAAGGAAGAATCTGAAAAGAATCAAGGAAGGAAATGGCCATATAGAAATGGTGTTTCCAATCATCCTGCTTGAAAAAGAACTTCCTGATACAACAATGAATCTTAAGATTTGGTTCAAGCACCACAAATTAACATAAAAATGGAGAATCCAGAATATTTAAGTAATGTAAGTAATGGGTAAGAAAAAGCATAATAGAACCATTTTTTGATATAAATGCTGCTAACCAAAAAAGGCCTGTTCCTTCCTTTGTTATCATGGACAGGAGCTAAGTAACTGAATCCAGCCGCAACTCTTCAGAAAATCATATTTTAACAAGTAAGGTCTTAGAGGTACTCCCCATCCCTCCTGCACTATTACAGTTGCCATTTATGTTCTACAGCACTAACCGATGTTCTGATTAAGACCTTGGGCCAGATTAATCTCTCTCATTGGGGTAACATAATTGTAGTCACTCTAGGAGTACATCTGTATATAACTAGGAAGAGGATCCAACTCTTTATAATTGCTTTATAACATGTTTTTTTTTCCTTAACTCCCTTATTTAAACTTCAAGCACCACTCTAGGCCTAAAAAGACAGTTTTTATTTTACAGATGTGGTTGGGAAGCTTGATCATCATTAATGCTATTAACACTTGCCAGACAAACTTAAAAACACAATGATGCTTCAAAGAGTAACTTTGGATTCTTTTGTATCAGAAAGGAAGGCTGAACTGTGATCCTACATTTGAACTTGAAGAAATGATTTTAGAGTCCAAGCCTCTCCATAAAAAGAAAAAGCGACTTGCCAAAAATAAATCCAAAGATGGAGCTAAGGAAACCTGCCCACTGGTAAGCTGGGGAGTGTGGCTGCGGTCAGTGGCATTTCATTTACATTCGCTAATGTACAAAATCAGTTAAGTTCAGTTTTATCATCTCTGAAAACAGACTTGACCTCTATGCCTGTCGTTTCACGTATAGCATAAACCATCTCCAAAGCAAGATGAAAAGCAACCATTTATTTCAGTCAAATAGTAACAGCATGTTTAAGTTGCAATCATTTTTTAAGATTCTCACAGATGCGCATTTAAAATATGAAAAAGTGTTGCCAGTTGGCAAATATGCTTCCCACACGTGGACAGATAGTCATAAGGAGTATTTATCCCCTACTGGTACCAAAAATGAAAAGTATGCAGTGAAAAGCTTGTTAGTTATAAATGTTTTAAAGCTGTCTCTTGCAGTCTTGACTAATGTGTCCCGCGTAGAAAGACCCATTGTATAAACAGTCTAAACTTCTGAGAAGATTAAGAAATAACTATTTTCCAGACTTGAATTTTCATTTCAGTAAGGTTTTATAAATTCTGTTGCTACTCCTAATGATTTTTAATGCTCATGCAAACTATTCTTCTTAGAGCTACCAGACGTAAAAATCCTCAGGAATTCTTTGTGGGGAACTTCTTCCAAAAGAAAGAAGGATTGATTGTGCTATCACGGCCCACTTTTGAAGAGTCTTCAAAAGGCCTTTTGATAGTATTCATTCATAAGCTGTTTTGTTTGGTATCGTTTCTGTTGTTGTGATTTTTGTCTATGATTTTCCATCTTTTTTAATCAACCTATTCATGCTGTTTTTTAAAGAACGTACACCTGCAGCAGTGCTTGGAAACCGTTAGGAAAGAATTCATCATATTCAACCGAGAGAAGTAAGTGCATTTCTTAATGCCTCTTTAGCATGCACTACTGAAATTAATTTGAGAATGATTTTTTCTTTTCTCCCAGTGTAAGGAAAAGAGATTAATGGTCACAGCAGCAGGGGCTAAAAGGCTGGTTTTCCCTTGATTTCTTCCTCTTACAGTCTCTGGTGTGATGTTTTTGTAGTTATTCCGTCTCTGAAAGCAAGCAGAACTGCTTGTGGTGAAAGTATGTTAGAGAGATAAGGTAAATGTCACCAAAACTCTCCAGAGAAACTGTTAGCAATTAAGCAAAGGGAATACAATACAAGGGGCTACTTTTTCATAACTTGAACAAAACCAAAGGAAGTGATAACTCATGAAATTTTAATGATATGAACTGCAGTGTTCTGACTTGGAAACTCTATTCATACTTCACTACCATAAAACAGGTAATTTCAACATTAGTTATTTCAACAGAGCTAGATATTAAAACTATATCAGACAGGAAGGAAGTGCTTCATAGCCTAAGCGTCAGCCAGAATCCATAGAAACACAAGTCTGAATCCCAAGGATGTCAATAATCTTTCTTTCTGGTCCAATTAATACACTGCATTTCACGTAGTTTACTGTGTTTGAGTTGCAGCCACTATGGACCTGTTTGTATTACGGATATAGCTTATAACAGGGGAGTTTGTGTCTTTGGTCAAATCATCGCATTTCATCCAAGTATATTCAGTGATTTTATTTGACCTAATTATATCTGCAAGCCTTTCTAATGGAGTTGTGAAATGTTAGAAATTAATTTAATAGTTGTGAATATCTTACTCAGTGCTTACAGTGCAGGTAATTACTGTCTTCTGTAATTAAGACTGGGAAAGGGATTGTCAACTTTGCACAATTGACATGATGTCATGAACGAAACTATGCCATGGATTACCCCATTTTCCTGTCACGATCTGTGGGACACGTCTATGCCTAATACTGACTGCTCACAGAAACTACAGCAAGGACTTACAAAGAAAAGGAAAGTCTGACAGATTCTTCATGTCATTTTGCATGATCTTTAGCACAAGAGAGCCATATGTTTATGTAAGAGCCATAAACAAGAAAAGCCAGACCAAGTCAGCTCATAAAAGGTTTTCAGAAGGGTCTTGGTGGACTTCTCTCAATCAGTTCTGGTATCAGTGCACTGGGGAACACCTGAACTTTGTAGGAGATTTATTAACCCACAAAAATCAAAATTATTACGATTGTAATAACAAACTTAGAAAAGATTACATTGATAAATCAATTTAATGTATTTCCAAGAAGTTGTTCATACAACTAGTTCATTTCCAGATATGACCCTCTCACCTACTCCAGAATCATATATCAAGGAAACACAATATACAGCAATTTATGAAAGACAAAATAAAATACCAGATTTTGTAAAAACACTTTCAAAATCCCATTGTGTGTGTTCACTAGCATTGAACAATTTCTTTTGACATGATTTTACTATGTTATTCTTGAATCTTTCTTAGCAGTGCATAGGAAGTTTTTTCATTTTTTTTCATATTGCACAACTACAGTAACAACGCAAGCTATAAAGGACTCTGAGAGGCTGATGAGAGATCAAGGAGAAGTTTAACTGGAGTACAAGTAAAATGGAAGCAAAAGATAAAACACATACACTTCATTCAGAACAGCATGTGTTTTGGTCATTGATTGGCTTTGACAAGATAAAGCAAAAACATTTAGTATAGACCTACAACAGATCCTTCATTGTCTTAAGCCAGATCACTATCATTTCTTGTTTAAGTTGTAGTAGAGCTGAAGAAGGACATGGAGAGATTTCTGTAATACTTTTCAAAGACAAAAATGTTAATGAGGGGGGAAGCAGAGGTCAAATTTTTGAAGTGCAAAGCGAACTCAAGTTAATGAGAACAAAATAAGAACAATGACAGACACAGTTGTCATCATACTGGAGAGAAGATGCTACACAGTATACACCAGAGTAATTCATGGTGGGTCTTCTTAGACCTTTCTATGCCCTCAAGGATGTATGTACAGGCTGAGGCTGTACTTACATGGATTTCCAAAGTCACATGGCCAATCAAGTTCTTAGGAACAGCTGCAGATACTGAAAGACATGAACTGTTCCTACAAACACAAATCCAATAATATGTGATCGTATCATTGGGTGAGGTGTAAATCTCAAGCAGGGCTTTAAAACAGTCTCAGATTAATACAGATATTTCAATATTCCTCCACGTTCCTCTACATAGAGCAGAACTGCTTATGTAGTCTAGCTGTTTGAAAATATCTGCATACTTCCTTAGATATTCATTATATTCAGCTACAAAAAGCTGTATTTTATTGTGATTTAAGCCTTCTGCTCAGTTTACTTCAGTGGCACAGAACACTACATAAATCCTAAGAAAGTGTGAATCAAAAAAACTTAGCCCATCTTTCAAGGGAAAAGATGAGCATCCCCAAACTAAAAGGATTCTAGGCAAAATTACAGATGTTTCTAATTGAGCAACAGGAAGTCACATAGTAATGTATAGTTAGAGTGCGTTGTTAACCATCCCAGTTCCACAACATCTTGCAATCCAATACCTGTAAAATATCTGCTATGAAAAGCAGAATCTGTTTTTATTGAATGTCTTCCTGCTACTTCCAGTCTGTGTCTCTTTCTCACTATATATCTTTCACCCTGCAACAGATACTGCAAATCTTGAAATATACCATATTTATTTTGTTTCCAAGAAGCTCAGGAGACTATCAGAAACTCTTAGACTGCAGTTAAGGGTGGGGAGTGGGTGGGTGGGATAGAGAAAAGGCTTACTAGGCTGAAAAGAATTAAAAAATTATTCAAGAGACAGAATGAAGTAACTTAATAGTGTAAGTTAATGCTGGGAAAGACAGAATGTGCACATTTTCACTTTTCTATTGCTATCTGCAGTTAAGTAATTGGAAACTGCTATTTACAGAAATGTTTTAAGCAAGTTGGGTGCATGAGGAAGACAGAGTTCATTTTAGCTAAGCCAGGCTTTCAAACGAGTAAGCTCAGTTAAAAAGGCTGATGTTTTTCCAGGTGGCTTTACCAGCAGCATTCAGGCAACGTACCTTCTCAGTAAGTCTTACATGCTCCTTGAATGTAATTTATTTGGTTGGACTATAGTTTAACTATGTAGCTGATATCTATGGTTTGAACAGTTATGAGATAGGATGAAAGATTTGAAGAATTAGAAAGAAATAGGATATTGTATACAGTGAGAGAGCACAAACATACACTGCAGAATGCAGGCAACACCAAGTTGGGCGGGAGTGTTGATCTGCTCGAGGGTAGGAAGGCTCTGCAGAGGGACCTGGACAGGCTGGATCAATGGGCCGAGGCCAACTGTATGAGATTCAACAAGGCCAAGTGCCGGGTCCTGCACTTGGGTCACAACAACCCCGTGCAGCGCTACAGGCTTGGGGAAGAGTGGCTGGAAAGCTGCCTGGCGGAAAAGGACCTGAGGGTATTGGTCAATAGCTGGCTCAATATGAGCCGGCAGTGTGCCCAGGTGGCCAAGGCGGCCAATGGCATCCTGGCTTGTATCAGAAATAGTGTGGCCAGCAGGAGTAGGGAAGTGATTGTCTCCCTGTACTCAGCACTGGTAAGACCACACCTCGAATACTGTGTTCAGTTTTGGGCCCCTCACAACAAGACAGACATTGAGGTGCCGGAGCGTGTCCAGAGAAGGGCAACGAAGCTGGTGAAAGGTCTGGAGAACAAGTCCTATGAGGAGCAGCTGAGGGAACTGGGGTTGTTTAGCCTGGAGAAAAGGAGGCTGAGGGGAGACCTCATCGCTCTCTACAACTACCTGAAAGGAGGTTGTAGCGAGGTGGGTGTTGGTCTCTTCTCCCAAGTAATAAGAGATAGGACAAGACAAAATGGCCTCCAGTTGCGCCAGGGCAGGTTTAGATTGGATATTAGGAAACATTTCTTCACCAAAAGGGTTGTCAAGCATTGGAACAGTCTGCCCAGGGAAGTGGTTGAGTCACCATCCCTGGAAGTAATTAAAGGACATGTAGATGTGGCGCTTAGGGACAAGGTTTAGTGGTGGACTTGGCAGTGTTAGGTTAACAGTTGGACTTCATGATCTTAAAGATCTTTTCCAACCTAAACGATTCTATGATTCTATGACAGAGCAAATGTGTTTTGTTAAAATAGGAATTAGGAAAGGAGGACTTGGAGCCATGATATTAGATGTTTTCTTTATATATTGGATTTAACTGTACAGGGCTTCCTGTACAAAGAAATTGTGTAGTCAATGATTATCAGCAGTGGGTAACAAAAGTTAGATTTGTATATCTTTACTTACACACTCCTGATTAAACAGCATCTTCTGTTGATACTATTCAGCATTCACTGGGGAGATGAGGAGGAATGGAGAGAAGACCAACTGTTCCCAGTTTCTTTGTAGAAAAAGCCAGAAAACAACTCCATCAAACAAAGAAGTTTGCAGAAGATGAAACAAAGACTTTTTCCATTTTCCTAAGATTTGTATTAATGCAAAAGACTGTCCTGTGTACTAAAAATGACAGTTATAGAAGTCCAGGCGTAGTTCTGTGCCTCAGTTTAGCTAGGCATGTTCTCATTACTGTTAATCCTATAAAGCAGTCTGGGAAATTTGTGAAATCTGAAGGGAATACTGCTTTCATGTCTGTGAAATGGACATTGAATGTTCCGAAGTCTGTCTGTGATCCAAGTCAACAGTCATTCCTATGATACACCATTTCTTCTAACAAAAGGAAATCTGAATTTGGGCCGTGTTCATCCTCCACACCCAATATAACTTCCTCTTGGGACAATCATATACAACTCCAAATAATGGAACAGCAGACCAGGAGCAGCTTTAGGGATGTGCAACGTTCATGGATTGAAAGTACTTTCTACTCCATGTAAAATGCCTAAGCTGTTCTGAAGAGGTAGCTTTATACCTTCATCTTCATTTGTGCAGGAAAACATGAAGCATCCAGAATGAAATCCCTAACACTGT